TTTAAATAAATTAATTTTGAACCTTTATAATTATAAAATATTTTACCATGGCCAATACATTAATAAATGATGAAAAGACTATTATGTCTAGAATATGTAAATTAACTTCAAGTATTGAAATTCCAAATAAGACTAGGCTCAAGGTGATCAACATTGATAAGCATGCCTGAAATAAAGAACTTTAAGTTTTTATTTTAATAATAATAATGAGGATTTTTTGAAAGTACCAGTTTCATATAATGCCATTTTTGAAATTCTTCATAAGGAGTAATGCTGTGATTTTTTGATAATCGATATAATTCGATGGAACCGCAAATTATAAACAATAAGTTTATGGGCAAAATTAAAGCACTAATGTAAAAATATTAATAAGCATTAATGAAAAGTTTTATTGATTATATTGAATGAATGAATGAGTGAGTGAATGAATGAGTGAGTGAGTGAATGAATGAGTGAGTGAGTGAACAAATGAATGAGTTAATGAGTGAATTACCCATCCTCAAAGCATAAAGTAAAATCTGGAGTTTCTTGAGTTGGTCTCCAAGGGCCCTTTAAGGAAAATGAGTTTGGTTAAATTCTTTTAAAAAATTACTTTAATTAAAAACTTTGGATTATTATTACTTACATAACCTTCTTCGTCACGACAAAAAAAATTAGAAGCCATTACTGTTTTATAAAGCAAGAATAGAAGAAGGGAATTAGATCGCAAATCGTTTTGAGTCATGTGAAAAGGACCCTTTTCATTATGCACAGTTTTGTGAAACCGTGATATACATGAAAACATAAAAAAGGAGAATTATTTATTATCATTATTACAGTCCATAAATGGGAAAACTTTTTATTATATTATATGGAAAAAAAAAGGACCGCTAAAGGGTTTACCTTTGTTTTTGAAAATATCTGCAATTGTCCCTCACATGTCACCGCCAAATCAAACAGTCAAACATACCTTTGCTTTTTTATGATATAAGGTGGGTGGTGTCATTTTTAAATTTTAAAGTAAATTCTTACCTTCATCATTACTATTTAAGGTATCTGATGGAGGTGTCCACAGTCATATCAATCATTTAATCCACCTTTTGGAATCTGCAAAAGGCTTTGGTATTTGTGATGCTTATGTGCATTTTTTTGGTGATGGGCGTGATACCGATGCCCCAAAAGTATAAGATCATTGCAATGTATAAAACGTTCGCTGATTTTCTTTTTTCCAATTTTCATATCGTTTTAAAATCATATTAGTTTTCCAGTGTTTTATCTCCCACTTACTACAATAAAGAAAGGCCACTTTCGACTATCATTGTCATCTAAAAAGTTTTTTTTGATGGCTTAATTTCATCAAAGTGGTATATAATAATATTTCATTCTGATACCAATTCAATTATATTTATGATATTTTTTCTTGACAAAAGTGATCTGCGTTCCAAATTGGAACGCACACATGTCTTTTTTCTAATACTAATATATATGTATAAACATGACAAACCTTACTGAAGCTCAAATTTATGCTGAAAAATGCGGGGGGGGAGTCCATATCCAAACTGGTACTACAAATTTGTTATTCTCGTGCGATAGAAACCACTTATGGGTAGAGATCAATTGAAGTTGTTACGAAGAAACACGATTGGTGTCCTCTTTGTCCTCATTCAAAAGGGGAGGTATATATTTGAAGATCTGCTAGGAAGAAAGTTCCCACTTCACGCACCAAAGTTTTTACAAGGAGTGCGTTTTGATGGATACAACGAAGAATTGCAACTGGCCCTTGAATTTAATGGGCATCAACACTATGCTCTCAACCTAATGTTTCATAAGAGTGGGCAAATAGATTTGGGTGAGCGAATAAAGCATGATCAAATTTATCCAAAAGAGAGAGTATATGTCTCATCTCAATACCATATTTCGCAGATATTGAATCTTTTATATGGGAGGCTCTAATAGTCGAAAAATATGTCACAAGAAGTCTAATTACATATATGGACATACAGCAACAAAACCAGACAAAGTGAACATTGGTATTACCAAGAATTTCAGGGATCAATAATGTTCATTTAACATCACAATTGTATTATCAATGTAATGTATGATCATGATATTTGTAGGATTATCTCTAGATAAAAATAGTAAATATGAAGTTAATTTACATTAGGTCTACTATGGAACCCAAAAATTACAGCACAATCAGAAGTATTTTGAAGAAAAAGCAAGGAGAGAAAATTACACCTTACATTTTTAGCAGGTCATATTATCGTAATACTGTCGAAGGTATAAATACATGTATAATTTTCGAGAGTTGAGTTAAAGACATCATGTTAATAACCTCTGAATTAATAACAATAATCTTCTCATAAAAATTATCTCTTAATAAAATTCTTAACTTTTTTGCATCAAACATATTTTTCCGCCTGAAATAAAACAATTACATCTTTTATATAAAACCAACTTATTTACGAAATTCGTTGCTGAAGAAGCAAACTCATAAACCCACCTCTAATTAAAATTGTAATTAGCAGTTTGGCCAACTCTAATCATTAGTCCCTTCGCAAAACGTATATTAAAAGACGTATTACGAAGGTATATGGGAAAAGACTTACCGGGAAAAATAAGCAAAAAGGATTTGCCGAAAAAGTGCAAGCAAATTAGGCTCTTATGAAAAGCGTAAGCAGATTTAGTCTTACGAGAGATGTAAGCAGAAGTGCAAATCATAAATCCGTGAGATCACTATGTCGCACTTGTATATAATATATTGCTGATGCAAGACAGCCTAGATTAAAAAAACAATCAGCCAAGGTTACGTTTTTTATTGGTTGAAGGACTGTAATTAATTGACGTATGTCATCAAAAAAAACATGCGAATTGATTGTTTTCGAATTGGGTGGGTATGATTTATTAAAACAGACAGCTTGTTAATTTATTGATTTATGTGAAATAACAATAAATAAGCATTAACGTATAATTTAAAAAGGTTCATGTGCACTGCTTCTATTATTAGTATTTTTAAATTTTGTGTAAGATATGAAGTGTATTTTATTGAATTAATTCGAATTATATATATGTATATATCATAGAGGAATTATTTGTTTATAAATATACATGTATTAATATCTTATAATTAGTTTTGCAATATTAAATAAAGCCTACGCGAGCAATTATTGTGATGTATTGATATTTTTAATTATACAACTTCTGTTTTTTTGTTGGGATGGATGGATTCCGACATCTTCGTAACTTTCTACCAATAAATGACTCTGTGTAGGATCTTTATATTTTTTGTTCGTCAGTTGTACGAACTGCAGATTTCTTTAAATTAGGATGTATGCTTTCTTCAGTTTTTATTTCTACTTTTCTTTCATCTTTTGGAATATTTACTGCACCTATTATTTCAGTATCACCTAGCTCCACCTCACCAATAGATAAATGTCCGGAGCTTTTCGAAATCATTATTTTTAATTTAATCAAAGCCAGTAAAATAAAAATTATCTTTTAAAAAGATTGTAAATAAACTTACCGAGTACCAAAACCTTTAAAATAATAACGATTTTTTAAAAAAGATTGTATTTAATTGAGAATTTTTTTAAAAAATATTACAAATCAAATTAATTTACCTTATCGTAATCAATAATTGTTCTTAGTCTATGAGCAATACATAATAAAGTTGCCCAGTTAAATTCACTACGAATGGTGTTTTGTATATTGTAATCAGTTTCTACGTCAACACTTGCAGTGGCTATAAAAAAAAGAGACGCGTTTATTATATTGATTTTTTATAGTCAAATCAAGTCAAAGCTTTATTTTCTACAAACCTTCATCCAACACAATAACAGGCGACCTCCTATAATTTCAAATAACTAATGTTAATATTTATATTTATACGTACACACCTAATTTAACAATAATTCAAATTACCTCAACAAAGCTCTTGCTAAACATAACAGTTTTAATATGAAATGTAAACATATGCTAACGCTTAACTTATATTACTAGATTCCAAAATCTTCTTGAATGATTTGATGTCCCTATTGTCCCTATTACCATTAACAATAGAAGGGCAAATTAATTAAATTCATTGATTTAATAATATACCATATTAACATTAGGAAAATTCAAACTTGATGATACAACTGCCCATTGTGTTTTAGATTTACCCTTAATATCAATATAAATTATTTTAGTGATTCTCCCTAAATGCAACTTGACGGAAAATCAATCATTACATGCATTTAGAGAAGGATTGCATTTATAGAGAGTAAAATATGTAGAGGTTTTATAATTTAGAACTATATCAGGCTTGCATTCAGATGAAGCAAAACATAGTAAATGCATTTGACGAGGTTGCACTTAGAGAAAGTTCACTGTATTTTTTTAATAAAAAAAGCCTTTAAGGGGGATCATGTGACATTTAATATGATCAACAATGGCCAATTTTTTTGGAGTTCAATTTTAAAAAATATGCTACATATGTAAGATGCATAAAAATAAACATAATTATCACAATTATACCAAAACCAAAAAAAACCACTTATTATTATATACAAATTTTAGTTTTTTTAACTTAAAGCTCAAAAATATTTTCAAATAACTAATTAACATATAGGAAACACTAAATATACTCTTATAGACTCAATATATATGCTAATAAAAGACTTTTTTTATTTGAGTTTCTTGCTAATTTATTTCATTTTTTTAATATGAGAAAGTAGTTATATCTTAATAGAATATGAAGTGGCACCAGGAACTATGCAAACGAAATCCCCAATATAAGGCATTTGAAGGTCAAGGTGTTTTGTTCAAGATGATACATACACTTTGAAGGTTAAAGAAAAGCATGCAGTTGTTGAACAAAACACAGCTCTATTAAATTCATTTTATCAACAATTGTAGTCAAAGGCATGTCAGATAAAGAAGGCAAGACACTTGTACCAATAATTCCTGGAATCATGTTTGGGTAGATTATGGAAATGATAAAACATTAACACAAGTTATTTATCAAACATCAAATTCTGATTTTTTTCTTCTTTTCATTCATATATAAAAGATAGAAGAAAAGGGCATATTTCAATACCTAATATTTTAGGATTAAGCAATCCAGAAAATGTGAATTATTTAAGAGCTGCTGAAATTCAAAAATATCCTGATACTTTTATAAATTTCACAGACAAAAGAATTCTTGAAAATGAAAAAAAACCAAATCTATACAAAAACAAATGAAAAGAAAAGGAGAAATCATTGTGAAAGGGAATTCTGGTGCTAATGAAAACTTCTCACCACATACAACAATGAAAAAAGTAGAGTGGTATTATCATTGATGAAAGGGGCCTAGAATTGGATAATAAAGCCACACAAGGCTTGTTAGTAGAATATATTACCAGGCAAATAAAAAATATAAATGTGCAAAGGAAAATGTAACAAGAGATCATGAATCCACAAGTCATGTGGATGAACAATTAATAGAACAAGATGATATTAATGATGTTGTAAAACAAGCAATAAACAACAACAATCTTGGCTCTACTATTTTCATTAACGCAAATCAACAATACCTTACTTGGGCTACCCTGCATTAATTGTGAAGTTAATTTATAAATAACAAAAGATATGAAATATTCAATGTTGGTTTTCTATGAAAATAACAATTAGGTGTCTTATGCGTGATAGCATTGCTGAATATTCTGATGAACCTCTTAATTCAGGTTTTAATTTGTTAGCTACAGGCTCAAGTTTGGTAGCTGGATTGAATCATCAACAAAATGAGACCTTCCTTGCATCAATGGGAACAGCTAACCAAATATGAAAAAAAAAAACAATTCATAACAACCAGAAAAGATTTTTCCAAAATTTGACTACAGAAGCAGAGGAGAGTGCAAAAGACACACCAATGGAATGTATAAATCATGTCAAATCTCTTGATCGGAATATCCTTTCTGTTAGTTTTGATACTTCATGGTCACATCTAAGGAATGCAAATCAAGCTAGTGGAGAATTTATATTTCAAGGAAATCATCTTGATAATTATATATTTTTTATTAGATTAAGAAATAAAATAACAGAGAAATAAATAAACTTGCAATATACTTACCTGATTTATAGATTACAATCACAAACCAGTTATTGCCTATCATGTTGTTGAAAATCTAGAATCATCAGGAATGAAACTGTAGATTCTAAGATCCTTCACCAAGAAAATTATCCATCAGGAAATTTTCCCTGCCGCAATATTACATCCGTAAATTTTAATATGTAAAGTTGTAATATTTGCATAAAAATTATGTAATATTTACACTCGATGTAATAATTGCATAA